GTGCTTCAAGTGATTGCCCGTATGTCCATCCAGCTGGTCGCCTAATGCCCTGCAAAAGAACACACAATCTACGTGAGGAAAAATGTGTCTCAGAGTCTGCTTCAAGAACCGCTCAGTACTTAGCAAATTCATCTTCACCGATGATTCGAGAAATGAACGCCTAATCAGTACCCTATTCTCATAAAACGTATTTATTCATAATTGGCATATAATGATTGTACGTATCATGGGTTAACTTTCTTTTCCTTCTTTCTTCTCTCACTTTATCTGTCCTCTCCCACTCTGATTTCTCTTTCCTTCACATATCCGTCATGCAAATTAGCTGTATGACGATTCAGAACATGGTGGGTAGGAGGCTGTACTGATGATTCTCACTCCTACCCGCACACAATGCTCGGTCTGTGTTTACAGCTAAGGGATGAAACACAGACTCCCTACATCGTAAACTGTCCTTCGGCACATGACACTTAAGACCAATCCCTCCATTCTACTATTTCATTCACCACTGAGAATGGGGAAATGATACACGCGCGTCACTTCTGTAGCTCACCACTGCTAGCTATAGGCCGGAGATCCCTTTACTTTCGCGATACGCAACCAAGGTCTTATTGCTGGGCAGTTTTGCTATAGCACACCGCGTTTTTCCCTTAAATGTGTAAAGGGAACTACCGCTGAGTTTGAAGTGCAAACATAACTCTTTTGGAAATTCAAGAACTCTGCTGTCCTTCGATTGCATAGCCAACAGTTTTCACAAAACACCGTGAAATTTGCAAAAAAAAAGAAACACCGCAGAGAATCGAAAAAATCGTAGCATACCCCTGTTTGGTTATTTTTGCAAAAAAAGCAGAAATTAAAATCCAAAAATTCTTTTTACTGTTCACTATGTGAACAACCAAGGTAGTTAAACGCAGCTCAAATCACAGGACCTGACTATAAAAACAAATCATAAACAGCTCCAGTCGTTGACAGGACTGCCAACAGCAACCTCTTTTGACTTCCGACGTCTGTTTTGGAAACGAATTAGCCAAAGTTTTAATCCCTCAGCACCAATTTGGATATGTGAACAAATCGTAAAGGGAATGGCTGTCCTGCTGGCGGGATTGTCGAAACACCTTTCGAAGATGCTGGTTTGAGGGAGTTATTGCAGGATTGTCCCATATGAGAATGTAACGACCCGATGATTCGGGGACGATGCGTAGTCAACGCACATCTTCGTTAAGTCTTGCTAAGCCGATTGTAGCATCCAGGTTGATCTAGGGTGCCAAAGTAAGGAGTATAAGCAGCGAAAAAATAATAGGGAAAAACAACTGAGTTAAGAAGTTTCGGTCCATTAACTTCGTGTTTTTCTATTGAATCGATCCGTTTCTTCGTGTACCCCAGTCCAAGTGATTCCTGTCGCCCGCTTTTGCATTAACTTAAAGCTGCGTGGTTAAATGTTCGGATAGAGGCCCGGCTCTTCTCCTGACGAATCGGGATCCATTGATTCACTGATCACGTATGATTACACAGTGTCAAAACTCATTCTTTAACTCTAAAATAAAGCAGCCCCCGTAAGGCACGAGCCTTTCCAGCAGGTGGTTGTTGCTTGCATGTGTAATATCACTTGGAGCACTTTTGGCTCCTGTGGGAAGTAAAATTGGACGGTGCTCAAAGCATGTGCCTGAAAAGTAAACGGAGAAGTAATCGAAGAGCGTACCTGAAGAGGCAGTTCCCGTCTCCCGGAATATCTCTCACCGTTAGACCGAACGAACCAAGCTGAGCACGCAGATCGGCAACATCGTATACGGCATGCGCATTCGTAGCAGCAAACGGAATCTTAAGTTATGATTAATCAAGAACCACAAAATGCATTGATCCAAAACCTCTCACTCCTCCCCCTCTCCCCCTACACTTCCTCACTCCGAGTATCTGCATAAAATCCAATCTTTTCAATAGAACATCCATGACTAGCAGCCGACAAGTAGCGTTAATTTCAGGCAAAATAACTGTGCGAAGATGCGTTTTTTGCATAGCTTCCCGCAGATTTTTGTAGCTAATGGCACTGGTTTTTCCGGCAGATACTTTTAACTAAGAGAATTTCAGACTGGCTGCCAGGACTGTCAGGAAACATCCTTTCAAAATTCCGGTCTTCTCACGTTCTCGAGTTAGCAACTTACCTGGAAGAAACTTTCACGGGCCCGTACGCGGGTACCACGCTTACCCGGGGGATAGGTTTCAGTGCATCAACTCCTACTTAGACAGGGAACATCCCTCTAAGATTTCAGCGTTCTAGCTTCTCCGATCCCCGAGTTATAAATTTACCCAACAAAACTTTGGCGGGCCTGTCCGTGATGGCGCCCATTTGGGGATTGGGGCCGGCACGCGCATGTAGATTAAGTTCCCGAAATTTCAGCCCAGCAACTTTTATAGGTCCTGAGATGAAAGTGCGTGACAGACGCACACACAGACACACAGACAACCCCTCGT